ATGGAAAAGCCTTTATAATACATTTCACCATAATCTCCTAGGTGCTGTTGTTAACCTAGAAAACAACAGGAAGTGATTAAATAAAGCTACAGTAACATTTGAGGTGATTACCCAGCAGACATCATCTTGCCCTTTAATCAGCTCTATGTATTTGAAGAGCAGTTTAGGAAAGTGGTGGGCTGTCAGCAGGAAGATCTCTTACACTTCTGTTAGGTAGAACCTTGATTTATTGCACAGGCTTTAGAATCTATAGAAGACTTCTATATAGATTGCAGGTTTGCTAGAGTATCATTTAACTTAAATACAGCTAAATACAGCTGTCTAAACATGGACCTGAACTTGTAAGCTACTCTTTATGATGGTCTTTGGAAAAACAGGTTAATTTCAGATCAATTTAGTACCATGAAACAAACTACTTTTAAACATAAAACAAAGCTAAAATTAGAACACCATTTCATTTGAGGTCTAATGGCCATAGGTAATACAAAGCTATTTACAGTTTATCTGATATACTATGTAACTTGCATTGTGTATGTGTAGCTGTGTCTTGCTGCCCAGCTCTACTGTTTGCTAAATAGTTGTAAATTACAAAGGTATTTTGAGTTTTTCTTATGAGGTAAAGCCCCAAATGCTTTCACTTCGGGCTGACACTGTTTTGTCTGCAGAAGTATGTTTTGCAATGGTGAGATACCAAGTGTTTTATCTATGCCTTTAAGTGCAACATGGATAACATAACTTCATCAGAGCAGTTCTGCCAAGTCACAGTAAGTTTGAAGGGTTCTTAAGGTGGTGGCAGTTTCTGCCAGGGAGAGAGGAATTCTCTATGTTCCTTACTAGTGCCTGCTAATTCATGCCTCCCCTTCCTGACATTTTGTCCAGTTCTGCATTGCCTGCAGACTCCTATCAGGTGTCATTTGTTCAGGTTTCAACAACTGCTCCTTCCTTTCTCACACCACCTGTCATGCTGGTTTTTGGCTGGGCTACGTGGTCTGAGTCATCAGTGCAGACCTGAATCAGAGTTGAAGGAGGAAGTCAGAATTCTTGCTCTTCTCTCCTTACTACAATTATTCCTGATTTTAAAGGAGGTAATCAAATAAAAAGTAGATAAAATCTCCTGTCCAACAGACAGTTGTACTGGAACACAAACCTGATGTAGTTGCTCTTGTGCTGGGGAGTGAAACTCATTTGATGTAACTGGTGTAGACTCCAAGCATATTGTGTTACTGAAGCTCAGAAAAAACTTTTTGGTGGAAAGAACAATAATGACTGGCAAAACTAAGCTAGCTACCCAGTCAAGTAACCGTGGCATCTTTAAAGTTATAATACAGGTCCCACTCCATACATCAAATGCTGGAAACAATGTGCTCTGATAGCTTAAAAGAGATACAACATCGATGCAAGATACTCTTCAGTTTACAAAAAAGAGATTTTGCCTCATGCCTTTCCAACTCGCAACGCTGGCAAAAATGACAAAATGCCTAATTCTTACTATTAAGTGGTACAGCTACGATGGGCTATAGCTGAGAAGTGGTGAATGGGGCTAACGTGGCATTCAGGCTGAGACACGAGCATGAGAGCCAGTCCTGGCAGCGTCGATGACTGCAAGCTGTCACTTTGCTCTGGTTCCACTGCGCTCATCCCTGCGGGTACGGGCGTCAAGAGAAGGGTGGGAGCACAGAAACTCCCTTGTGGAGCTTGTTCACAGCACGCCCAGCACAGCACTGGCTGTCAGGAGCACTTGGGCTGAACTCTCACACTGTCACCTCAACATCTTCATCCACTGCAAGGAAATAGCTTCATTATGTCTCTGTATGCAGATGTGGATGTTTCCCTGGGGATACTGACTGGATCTGGAAAACAGTAACAAAACTTCCTATGATTTTTACAACAGCTTATGCCAATAGAACAGAATTTTGCAAGCACAATACTAGTTTGATTTTCAGAGTATTTTTTATTACTGTTTCACTTGCACAATTCCAACGTTAGGGAACAATACAAAATGTACAGTACATAGCTTGTGTTGTTCCCAGGTTTTGAAGTCACATGTCAAGGTTCAGGCTGCAGAACAAATTTCACCATTCCTAAAATGAAAGCAGGCACAGAGAATAGGATCTTGCTGCAGTATTAGTGCAGTCTTGTTTGGCAAATACATGAGGAGCACCACCTGCCATCAGAGTACTGCAGGTACCAGAGGATTACTGGCATGGATCTTTAACATTCTGCCCTCCTGCCATTTGTTCACATCAGGGACATCACTAGAAAAACACAGTTAAGCAATTCTCTCCTCGGCTTTAAAAGTTAATAGAAGGGTGCAGATAAAGAAACAGTTCGCAAAATGAAACTACAAATCTGACACACATTTTGCATAGGTAAATTTATGCCACTTGGGTCTTGGGACTTTTTTTTTTCTGTTCCAGCCTTTGAACTTTTGCAGTGAGCTGAACAGTTTGTCAGAACACTTGGTCAGTGTTCAGACCACTGGGTCACTCCAGATACCTATCCATCTCTTTGGTTGATTTCCCTTAACATCTCTCAACCTTTTTTAATTCCTCCTACAGCAATATACACATATACTCTCCCTCCCCTTGGCCACTCCTATTTTCTTCATCTTTCTGTCCTCTTCAGTCACTTTCACTCTCTTCCATTACTGTTCTCAACATCTCTGGGCTCTTCCTCATCTTCAACCATTCTGATTTTCTCTTGATGAAGAGACAATACCATAATCTTCTTGTTGCATCCAGTTGCCTCTGCTATTCACAATAACAATTCTAATTCCATTAAAAGCATTCACCTTTAAGGGCCTCATTCTTTCTATATTTACTCGTGGATGTAACCCAAATAATTCCAGTGGTTTTACGTGCAAAGGTATGGACAAAAATCCAACCCACTGCCTTGAATAACAGCTGGAAAGAGCTTTACAAGGATAGTAATTTGCTGCTTCTCTTCATGGATATATTGTTGTTCATCAACACTTAATTCCTTCTCCCCCCCCCCCCCCCCCCCCCCCCGCCTTGGTATGGAGCTGACATTTTCACAGTGGGTCAACTTAACATCACCCTTTTCTGTTACAATAACATTTCAAAAGTTGGATCACATTTCCTTTGTTGGTATGGGTTGTTCTAAATCCCCTCTGTTCTCTGCTAAATTCTTTTTAAGTAGTGCCTGGCATCAGGAAAAATCTGCCTCCTACCTGCTGACACCAAAATGGGAGAGGGAAAAAATTCACCTGCATCCCACATCCCACAGAGGCTGCTGAGATAAACACCAGAAGTGCAGGGCAGCGTGTATCGCTGACTGTTTAGAGCACAAGCAGTTTCCCAGGCAAGTTTTGCACACCTAGTGGGTACAAAATGAAAGCTGTTCCTTCTTCACAGTCTCTTAGACTTTTTATTTTAAAAGTCAAAACCAAATATGTTGTATTTCTGATTGTCTGCAAATTATTTTTTGCCTGCAACTGTAACTTTTATCTCTGTTTCTGTTGCAGGTCTGTGTTTGTTTGCTTTGGGGCTTTTTTGTATGTGTGAAAGTTGACCAAATCAAGCCCAGGGTTCAGTAACCTAATGGGCCATGCCATGTTTCGCTCATTTGCCCCAGTCCTACCATTGGCAACTGGTAGGAACATTATTACCAGTAGTTACTACAACATTACTACCAGAGAGGACCTGTTTTCACACCTCTGCCCAAGCACAGGAAAACATTCAGATTTTAAGTCTGTACACAAGCTCATCACTTTTGTACATTAAGAACCACTTTGACTATTAACTGCACCTATTGTTTAGTATGGCCTTAGCCTTATTTTTCTGTAAGTTAGAACATTTAAAAGCAAAATACTTCATAAAAAACACAATACATTTTTTGAGATAAGCTAGTGCTCGTGAAAAGTTCAACCACTGAATTTCTCCCCTTCTTAGTCAACTTGAATCATCATCCTTGAGGTAGACGACCAGATATTCCAACACACTTTCCCTGCACCTTTCAGTATCACATATTTCAAGTAAAAAAATACCTATTTTCAAATACTGTAGCTAGCAATTTTGCTTTTGCCTACAGCATCATCCATACTGTGTCATGTCTGGAATGAGCTCTTTTGTATTACATTGGAAGCACATCCAAAAGTCAGCTAAATGAGGATTGCATTAAACCCTACAATTCATCATAGTATATGATTATATAATCTATATATATCTCTATATAGTTTTATGGCCAAGTTACAAGCCCCTGAGAACAGAGTTTATGCAGAAACACTGGCATCAATAACTAGTAGATGCAGCTTTATTTAGATGTAATTAGCATAGGAAGCACCTGAAATTATTTATATTTTCTATTTATAATAGATTAACTCTTTGGATATTTTCATAACTATATTAAGAATACATTTGTTAATTTTAACATCCATTGTGGAAAGATAATATTTACACACAAATACTGGAATACTTGATGCTGAAAGAGCAAGAAGGGAAGAAAAGAAGGTGCCTGATCCTGTACCTTTATATACATGGGTAGTGCCTTTAAGTCAGCTCATATGAGTGTGGGTCCCATATCTGAATAAAAGTTACAGGTTCAGGTCCATAATGCTTTATGCATATATGATTTTGCTGAACTACTATTTAAACTATTTTTACAAATACATTCTACAGTAACTGTGTCTATGGGCTCAGACATCCAGCCCTGAGAGAAACATGAAGTCTGTCCCCTGCATTTTGGAAAATCTACCAGATGGGGCAAATAGGTAGAAACAGCTGCTTTTACAACTCTGCAGAGAAATGCAGCTGTCTGCCCAGCACAGGGTATGACCCCTCAAGTGTCCCAGTCATCCCTATCATCAACAGTTGCTCTTTCACTGATTGCAAGACTTGGACAAGTGAGTCTGGGTAGAACAGTAACAGCTTGCTTGAAGTGCAAAACAAACCGAAACCCAATTCAAAATAGATTCCAATTTGTCACCCAGCTTCTGTTTTTATATCCACCTACAGATGTTGCTCTCTAAAAAAGAGATTTCTGTTCAAGATAACAACTTTACATCATCTGTGAAAATGAAACTGTATGCTTTTGAGAGTACAAGAGCTTCTTATATTGGCTACATTCTTCATTAAAGTTGTTCTCTCCTAACACTGTGAATACAGTCTTGGTTTGCAACATATTTTAGAAGACAAAGTAAACATGTTTGCAATACTTTGACAGGAAAATGGAATTCTTTCCAACCTGAAAGAATATGAATTTTGATAAGTTAATAAAGATGACATTTTTGTAGGTAAAAAAGTGCAAATTGGTATAAATTACCTCCAAGCATTTTACACTGTTACCTACAGGGAATTTCAAAGCATCCTTCATTTTGATGTGATTTACCAGTTGAACAGTACATTTTGACCAAGAGTCATAAAGTATATTTGACTGCTGCCTCCTGATTGTACAGATGCAAAGAAGACCTTGAAAGGGGAAAAAAAGAAGAAGATGTGCTACTGTCAGTTTACATTTATGAGAATATTTTTACTCATACAGAAAATCTCAGAGAACGCCAGAGTCCCAAATACAGGGAAATCAATATCACAATTTAAATGAAATCCCATGAGAAACTTTTTAAAGTGAAACTGTGCTTGTGGTCCAACTGGGCTATATTTTTTGGTGTATTTTTCCTATTTGGAATGACACAAGAGAACATTTAAAAATAATGAAACAGTTTTGGGGCCCCAGTTTTCTAAATGTCAGTGGAACTAAGCAGGTTTCATAAAACATTTATCAAGAACTGCTATCTGCAAGAAATCGTACTTGATTATCCATACTCTAGTGCCTGCAAGATCTCAGACATTGGAGGGTTGGGTTTCTTTCCACGATGGCTGCTCTGAACTGCCTGTAATTTCAGTAGTCCAGGAGAGGTGGGCCTCTAGCTGGGCATTACCAGGGCTGCCTCACTAGCCCTCTACACCTGTGTGCTGGTGCCTGGCCAGCTGGCAGCATCTGTGTGTGTTATCACCTCTGATGCCAGTTACAGCTGGTGGAACAGGAGCTGGAGCAGAGCAGGCTGGAGTAGTGTGAGGGTGTGCCGTTTGTAAGTGCTTCGTGGGCTCAGTGCCTGCCTTTGATTTGGATGGGGGAGTTATAGTCAGGTAGGCAACAACCAATGTAAAAACAAAGTTACAAAAATTGAACTTAGTGTCATAGTCAACTGTTATTCGATTCTGCTAAATCACCACACTGTAGTCGTCTGTACCTTGTCGTTTCTTTCACACAGGAATTTTAGCTTCTGTGCTTTCTTGTGCATAAACACGCCTTCCAAATTTCCTGTTTCCACAGAGCGTAGTTCAATCGCCTTCTCTCCCCAGCCCATGACCTGATTAGATTGAAGGTAAGCTAGAAGGAAAAAAAAAATATTAAAAAAAATGATACTATTTAACTGCTGAGAGACTGATTCTTGCCTCATTTATGTCAATAAGGATCTGAAGCATTTCTCTCTGATAACAATATATTCTGAATTATTTGTATTTTACGATCACACAGAAAGCCTTGGGAACAGTAACTAAATTTCAGTTTCTCCTCTCAGACTTATTTTGGACTCTACACATAAATCACAAGTGTGCTACTATTGTGTATTTTAGAATCACAGAAGGTTAGATAAAACCTCTGAAGGGCATCTTGTTTAACTCCCACCCCTAAAGCAGGGCCAAATTAGACAAGGTTATTCAGGACCTTGTCCAGACATACTTTGATGGATATTTCACAACCTCTCTGAGCCTCTGCTGCAATGCATCACTACTTTCAAGGTTAAAACCTTCTTCCTAACATCTAATTGGTGCAATCTGCACTCATTTTTGTCTCCTCCTTTCACTGTACATGTCCAAGAAAAGTCTTGACTCTGTCTTTATACTGTCCTATTAGGACGTTTGTTTACTACAAAGTTTATTTGCTATAGAGTTCAGCTTCTTCTGAAACCTGAATACTTTTGAGACTGTGGCACCATTAATTTGGCATCCTTAGCTATTGTCTTCTCATCACTGGTTACAGGCAGTATCTCCAACCCCAAAAGAAGACACTCCAGCTCTGTGGAAGTTTCTTGTTACTCCCTTTAAATCTGGAAATTAGATGAGAAATCAGAATAGTGGAGAAGGAGTTAATGCCACAGATTTCAAATTAGGCCCAGTTTCGATGAAAGGCCTCTGATTAGTGCACACATTGCCTTCTGAGGTAAAACCATGTTAGTTATGCTCTATTGATAGTCAATGTTCAGAAATGGTTCTTGCTCAACTATGAACTGTCATTTCATTAGTCTGAGAATTCTGGTGCTCTGAGATGATGTAGAAGGAATGTGTGCATTTGACTGGCTTTTAGCTTCAGTGGCCAGTGCTCGCCTGCCCTACATTACTAGTGCAAGCACTGTCTGTTCCTGAAAACCTTCCTATTGGGTTAGATTTTTGGGTTAGATTTTACTAAAGATTAAGCTTTCAGTACACACTGACATAGAAAGCAACAGCATGCAATCCTACCTTAGAAGGACAGCAGAAAATAAAGGCAATATGCCCGAGTATATATCCTTCTAGGAGTTGTTGATTTAATATTAACTTAGAATCCTTGCTTTATAATTGCCAAAACAAGTGTATGACAATTATACCTCCTTGGAAATGTGTGGTTTGGCTACAATGTAATTTTAGTTCCCTTAAAGCCTATGAATTTTCCCTCAATCTGATCGGGGTACTTTCAGTTATTCTTTGTGCACACTGAAGGCTTCCCTGCCACTAGAGCTGGGAGCAAGAAAATTCTTGCCCAGTATCCCAGTCCTGTGGAAAGAGGAAGAAACCATCCTGTTTAAAAAGCAAAACAGCAATGAGCAACTGAGGATAAGTGGGAGAAGAGAAGGGAGGAGGGATATTTTCTAAAAATCAAACACCTGAAATCATTCTGGCTTTAAATCTTTTCTTTATGCTTCAGTTCCTAGGCTGTACAACAGGGCACTACTGCTGCAGGCTGTGAGGAGGAATGCCACCAACATTTCTGAATCACTGCAGCAGGAACATGCTGAGCACCAGGACAGCACCCAGCAATATGCAGTTAATATCTAAAAAGGTAGGCCCAGATCACAAATAAAGTGAAGATAAACATGATACAATACTCACCTATTGTTTATAACAACTGATAGCACCTTTTCAAACTTTGCTTTTGAACACAGCAGAGACAGAGGCACACTATGGTTCTGGGAGGTGGGACAGTGAGGCAGCTGCATATATATAAATGGCATGGAAACATTCTGTGGCTACACTGTTAACTATAGGTTATGTAGGTCCAGCAACAAAGACCTAATCCACTTAAAAGTCTCCTTATCTTTTCCACTGCACAAAATCTGCACTGAAGTTGTCAATATGCTCTGTCTGTATCAGCGGTTTCCAATGCCTTTGGCAGATTTCAATCTGATAGCATCCTTGCAACTCCTAGTAACAGCTTAAATAGGCTCTGTTGCAACCTCTAGGTCATCCAGGATAGAAAGCCCTGGATGTCTGGACTACCTACTGCTATGCTCAGAAGAGATCTGATTTCCAAACAGTGTTACAATAGGAAGATAATAAAATAGGTCTACCAAGTTCAGCCACTGAAGTTCTGCTGGCCAGCCAGTATGCTGAGAACTTGTTAACTGACGATAGCAAATTTCAGTTGAAGGGCAAGTAGCACAAAAACACATTCTTGTATCAGAATCAAAAAGTTCTTTCTCAAGCTGCATATGTGGAACAACACGCCAAAAAAAAGCCTCATTATACTATTTGTAGGGTTGTCCAGTTATAAGGATTTATCTATATGTGGAAACTAACTGGGAAGATAGCAGGCTGTGAATTCAGAAGGTCACTACCAAGTCTTGGTAATTTTCTCATGTGGGAGCACTTGTGTTTCTTGTGAATGAATTGACAGCAGATTAGATCTTCAGAATAAAGTTGCCTTATTCTGGAACAAAATGACCATGACCAATTTCAGAATACTTAGTTTGAGTCCACTTTGCACCTCAACAGGCTTTACATAAAAATATGCTTCCAGCTGCCAACATCTAAGGGTGTTTTTATTACACACTATGCAAGACTGTACTGGTTTCTAGCAACTCTCTAGACGTAGCCTCTCTGGTCCTTCAGACAGCAGCTGAACAGAAGCAGCACATACTGACTCAGACTGATGGGCCAGGATTGCTGAATGCACCAGAACAAAGTTATTCAGAGTTACCTGAAGCTCCCCTGCTTCACCCAGATTACCATGTGGCTTAAAAGGCCCACAGTTGTGCATGAGCTGTGGTTCCTGTTACACCATTTACACCAGCATTACTCCCTAAGCATTAAAAGCAGAGTAAAGTGAGCTCTATGAAGTGTCACTGACATAAGCTAATGCTCTCAGTCATTAACACCAGTAGCACGCGCACTGTCTGAATGCAACAAGTGCACTTGGTATCATAGAACCCAACTATTGCTACAATCTCACTTCCCCTCTTAGCCTTTCTTTTCTTAA